CCAAACAACCACCGAATGCTGAAAAAAAAATGTACACCGTACCGGTATCTTTCGTCATCAACCACATCAAAATAATGTCCCTTGCAAGTACATGTATCGGCCACATATCTTCAGGGCCAAATCCAAAGAAAAAGGAAATTGCACAAAAAATTCTCTCACACTTTCAACTTATTTCTCTTTCAGTTGCTCGTTGGAGAATATACTGTACGCACACATGCACAATTATGAGCAAGAAGCTGGGCCAGAACAGTGCTCTTTCAAGCGTGATCACCGTGTACAGTGCTGTGTCCTTTAAGTGGTTAATTTTTCAGTCTCTGACAAGATCCTTGAGTGCTTTTCATTAATTATGAGGTAAGGCAGGTGAAATCCAGGGAGCCTGTGTAGTACACACGATGATCGATAGGTGGCTTGAAACTGACCGGACCTGCAACACTTCCGAGTTAGCATTTAATTATTTTGTAATGTAAGATGAGCAATGGTCAATGGTAGGAAACCCACAAGTAAAGGTTGAAAATTTTGCACACGATTACTAAGCAGAAAAATTGTTTTAACCCGTAAGTCACTATACTACCCCAAACCGCCATTCCTATTACTCCCTGTAGTGCCTGAAACCACCCAAACACTGGTTTTAAGGATTCATGAGTGAATAAACACAATGCAGTACAGTTGTTTAATGGGTAAAAAAACACCAATTATTCTTCCAAGAGTGATATAAAAAGGAAAAACTGTGTGACAACAATTTGAGTGATTTCTATGGAGCCCTAAAAATTGGCGCACTTTTGCACTGATGCACAAACTCATCCAATACCCCAAAACCCAAATAGCAGCATACAAAAATATACCTGACATTCTGAGCAAACTAAATCAAATACTTCAAATGACTCATTCCAACTGTTTGACATTTAATGTATATGAACCTGTTCCTTCACACTGCAAACTTTGCAAATGACGCTGCTTTTTTTACCAAGTTCTTTTACCAGTGCAGTCCATCCGTAAAACTGAAAGGCCAGGGACCATTTACGTCTTTGACTGAGTCCGTTCTTATCAATCACACATGCCAACTGAAAACACAAGACTAATAGCACCCATTAAAAAGCAAAAGTATAACCCATCCTGATGACTTCTACTCTGCAGGTCTTCTATGAAAACGTACAGCCTGAGAGATACAACACTGACAACAGCATGGCAAATGTCAAACTCTTACTGCATGCATTTCATCTACCACAGCTGTGCCCCCTCCCCTCCCCATTCTCCCCCCCCCCCCCCTTCAAAGCTCCCAAGAGCAAGTTGATGATGAGGTTAGTGGGCCATTTACATTGATTCATATGCTGAATGATCAGTTAATAAAAATCTAAGTGACCTGGGCCATGTCTCTTGCTCGGCTTGAGGGTAGGGTGGTGTTACTTGGGGGGGGGGGGGGGGCTGTAATCCACTCAGTGAACACTGCTCAAGAGATTTTAATCAGCTGTGCGGTAACATCTGAAAAACCAGTTGGAATTATCTTCATCGTTCCAGCCTTTCACAAATGGTGATCTTGATAAGCTGGCGCTTGCATCGAGGGAGACTTATTTGCTAATTTTATTTGGGCCGTGACAGAGACACTTACTGATACTTCAGCTAGATATCATTACTTAATGACATTTGGAAAACAGGATTAAAAGTTGCGTGGATGACAACCAAACTTACTTCCCACATGATGAATGTGGCAAAACCTGTACATAAATCTGATTCCCATTTTATTTTTACTTTTTTTTGGAATGTACTTCTGCTGTGACGTTATGTTCTCTTCTCTTAATTTCCTTGCCGAGTCTTGAGTGATTTGACCATTCCAGCAGAAGCATAAACACTGCCCTGCAGACATCTGCTCGATGGTGCGGCGATACCAAAACAACACTTACATCCTGAATTCAAGCTGGTCAGGAAATGAACCTGCATGTACATCCAGCCAACTAAATAGAACCATCGGACAGAGTTGGAATTGAGTCAATCACAAGTTAATCGCAAACCCATCGCAAGTCAATTGCAAGTCAATCGCAAGTCAATCGCAAGTCAATTGCAAGTCAATTGCAAGTTAATCGCAATTCAATCACAAGTCAATCGCAAGTCAATCTCAAGTCAATCGCAAGTCAATCGCAAGTCAATCACAAGTCAATCGAAGTCAATCTCAAGTCAAATTGCAAGTCAATCAATAGTCAAGTCACAAGTAACAAAGGATGACAAAGGAAACAAAGGAATGTCTCTATGAAGCTTATTTGACCAGTGATTTGAATTGAGACTGGATGACTTGTGATTGACTTGTGACTGACTGGATTACAACTCTACCATCTGGCTACCACATGCTTAATATCTTCAGATCAGAAATTCACACATTCCTCTGGTCATCTTGAAATCAAAACCATGCTTGAATCTGCAAGTTCAAACATAAGTATTACAGGCACGTTTCAGCACGGGAAAAAATGATCGAGAGATAATCTGGGATGCCTTAAGCTGACATGACCTGCATTGCAGATGAAAATGGGCTAATTTTGGCAAGTATACGGCTTGTCATCTCATCACAACTTTTCCTTTCACTTTTGATGAAAACTGCAAACAAAATTTAGAGATAGTAAGCAATGGATAAAACGGGTCTGTTCTCATTAGGTCAATCACATTTCAGGACTTCCATTTATTTTCTTTGTTTTCATTTTACCACTGGCACCCTTTACTCACACATTAAACACCCTCCACAAATTTGAGGTAGTATCAAAATGTCTTTGAAACTTCAAGGCTCACAAGAGTATGGATGTAAATATAAAGACATACCCAAATTGATGCGCAACTTTAAAAGACAGACGCAAAATGACTTTGACCTTTCACGCCACACCGCGTAGGTCAATACATACCGTTTTCAAAGCCAAATCCATTTCATTCATGTACAACCACTCAGCACAAGCTGAGCTCAAATGATCACATTTCAATTAGCGCAGTATCCTCATCCAGGAAAACCCCTTCTACACGCATCAATTTATCTAGAGTATTAGCAAGATGAAAAGGGCACCTGTCACAGCCTCGCCCACTCAGAAACAACACAAGAAATGAGAGTGTGAGGTAGGGAATTATGATTTAACGTAACTATTCTCTGTATAATCTGTGAGGTTCCTTGATGTCTAGGGTCTTGTGTTGATACATCTTCATCGTTGTGCAGGATGCACAGCCGAAGAGGCGAGATGTCCAATCATCTTATTCATTCTCTTCATACTAAAGCCGCCTCTTACTATCCCTGTACCCCACACTCCCCACAGCTGTGTACAGAATACATTTTCATTTGTAGAATAATTTGCTGATATTGGAATGGATCAATGGTCTAAGTCCCCGCAATCTCTAACTCACATACTCTATCCTCGAGTCATTTCAGGATATGGGGCATCGGCACACATATTTAACAAACATCTGATGATCAAGGACAGTAGCAAATCCTGGTTGAGGGGGGGGGGGGTTGGAAGAGTGGCAGAGTGCAACAGGCTAGAGATTTTAAAAGCAAAATCGGAAGGCTGATGATAGAAGCAAAATAAGGTCAGCGAAAATGAATTAACAGGATGAAAAAGTATATTTGGCAACACGCCAACAAACCCTAGGTATGCGCATGATCAAGGATATGCATTTAGTACCGGTATCTTCCGCTCTACTATCAATCTTTGTGTATTACAGAATACCTAATTGAAAGAGGGTTTCACAGGGGGAAATCCATAAAATCTGACGATCTGAATCAAGCTTTACCCTATTTGCTGCAAAACTTTCAGAATCCTTCCAAATCCTCTTCTCAAGTTGCAAAAAGCAAATAGCACAAGCAGTATAAAAATAAACAAGTAGTGCCCCTAGTGCATTACCTACAAATCCTACAAAACCCCCTCGTGGGTTTTGAAGGTTCTGAGAGGGTTACGATTGCGCCCCCCCCCCCCCCTCGGCTCATTACGCAAAATAGCACCCTCTAGTGATTATTCACAGTCAACCTAGATGGATGTAGATTGATGACGTAAATGCTCTCTATGCAAATCCACATTACAATATACCGTATTATGCCAAATGCTGTTATCTTTCTCACTTTTCGCATCCAAAGTACACACATAAATGTATGCATTGTCAAGTGTGCCTAGTGCACTTTATGCAGGACTAATTTCCTCCCAACTAACAGGGGGTGCCCGAGGGGGTTAAAATAAATGTTACCAAATGTTACCAATGTTACCAAAAATGCCATATTCCAAATCACAGCAGTCAACAATAATTTTGTTATATCGTGCCAACAAGCCAAAAAGATAAATGATTACTTTGAAAGTAATAAATTAAATCACTGCAGTGCACCTTTGATAAGAGACATGAGACTCAGCGGTTGCCATTGTTTAGCGTGAGGCGCATATGGGCCAGCCCTTCACGTGCACATCAGAGGTAATATACAATGCAGTTATTTTTACAGATTAACGTCAGTTACAGTATCAAAGACACGATATAGCAAAGCTTTTTGTTACATTTCTGTTTATCAAGTCCGTTTATTCCTATAACTCCATTACATACATGTAGCTCCATTATGGGCTCTGTGATCAAGTATCCCATTTGCGAGTTAGCCCACCCCTTTTACAACCCTATGGAATTTCGTTTGTCTCAGATTCTGCACGTTCCGTGTTCCGACAGAAGTTCGCACGCTGTGTTGACGTGATTCTACCGTGATAGGTTAATTGCTGAAAAGCATGCTATTTCAGCATTTGAAAAAGTAAGGGCACATGTTTTGTTTTGTTTTGTATTTTGAGGTACCATTATTTCGGCAGTATGAAGCATTTTCTGCAATCGGCATTTTATTGAACGGTATATCGTTTCTACCCCAAAGCAAAATCACTTGAAACAACACCACAAGTACCTACATTGTATAGCATTGAAAGCTCATGTCCGTTTCTGACGTTCGTTCATACAGAAATAGCAACAGCTACAGGCGTATGTATACCACGCACACGACTTAACATATACCTTACCTTTGGAGATTTCTCGGAGGAACTTGGCATTTCTCCTCAAGATTTTCTCAAAAGCGGTCAGCCAGTTTTTGTGTGCAGGTGTCTTCATCATGTCGGCTGCTCTGAGGGAGTGCATGTATGGGGGTTCTTATTGGAGGGGAAACCAGCGACTATCAGCAATGTTCTGATGATAAGATTTGTTATAGGCTGTGACAATCAAAGGCAATTAATTACACCAATCAGAGGTAATTAATGACATAGTCGTCACTCTGAAAACTATGTGCAGATTTTAAATCATTCCCCTAAAATATCATTGTTTGTAGAGGTGGATCCAAAGGGAGCCAGAGGTCCTGAACACCCCCCCCCCCCCATCCTCCCTTTCTGTTTACAACAGACCGGTAAATAATGGAAGCATTCTGCATACACGTGATATACAGATCCTTCTCCAATGGAAAAATAGGTGCTTTTGAGCATCCTAAAAGCTATCTTATTCTTTAGTGAAAGAAGCACTGAACTTCTGCCCCCCCCCCTCCAAAAAACAAATTGGACCACCCCACCCCTTTCTAAAATTCCTGGATCCGCCCCTGATTTGCCAATGCTTTTGAAAGAGTACTGTCTGTTGTTCAGAATTACAAAAATGTTCATCAATAATTTCATTGTTTTTATCACGTTGTTTCACAGTATTCTGTAACACCATCCTGTTTAAAAGGTGACCCTCTATTATTTTTTTTTCATTTGAAAAAAAAACACAACTGTGGTCAAAACAGGTTGGGTTTTCTTCCAAAAAATGTCTCTGCATGCGAATAACCAGATTACATGCAGTTGTCACTGAGAATTTTCTTACAGAAAAATAAGTGATACTATTTTTTCATTTGTTTTTATAATATCTCGGGGAAAAACGTTTTTCTTTCACCCTGGATTATGTAATTTGTAGGTGTTTTTTGGTAATTTATGTGTAATTAACTCTTGTTCCCTGAGGACTCGTAGTTATTTGCCTCCTCTCCTTTGTGACTTGAGTTTGTCCCAAACAACGCTATTCCTTTGTTTGTGTTACAAAAAAAAGAGATGAATCAATACCATGTTTGCATCTTTCTTTGCACTGATTTAGAAATAAAGAGAAAATCAAACCATTAAAATATATTCGGTCAAAATCACAAAATTATAACATGATTTATAGACCGTATGCACGAGGAAAATACAAAAGGACAAATTACAGCAAATATTGCGTGAAATTTGCAGCGTTTCAGTTAAATGTTAAAACGTTCTTATAAATTTAAGCTTGTGGCTCTCTTCACTAATGTATTTGGAGCTTCTCTGTCTGGTTGAAAGCTTAATATCTTACATATCTTGAGGCCTGGCACCTGGCCCGTCATTAAGTTATTAGTCTTCCCCTGGGCGCGCTGTAAGGCCAACAAGTAAAAATGTCAAGTTTGGCATCTTAGGTAGATGCAGTGAAAGACTACACCAGGCTTTGCCTTTGCTTCTTAAGATGTGTGTGTGTGTGTGTGTGTGTGTTCTTGCAGAGCGCTAAACAATTTGTCGTGTTGATTTGTACCTTAGTCAATCATGAGATTAAGCACATGTCTTGATGACTTTGCACTTCTCTCTGTGTTTGTTTGATGTAATTTATATATTTGTAATAAATGCTGGAATTTTGAAAGCTATCACAATTGTAAACACCGGTTTATTTGTATTTGCTGTTACTTGTTCTGCAACTTATTTAGGAACTTGTGAAATTGACCAATTTTTAGACTGGTAAGAATTCTTGTAGATTTTTTTCAGATTTTTTGCGTGAACTTTTCCAGCTTCCACTGGTTTCAACTGAATTGACTAAGATTTATGCGGTTTATAAACATTGGAGTCACAAGCAATGTGTTGTGTTTAAATGGCGGACTCAGTTTTGCATGTCAGCTTCTGGTGGCCTAACTTGAAACTCATGAAATGAATTTCAAAAGGACATGCACATGAAGACAAAGGCAGTGGAAGGGGGGGGGCAGGCAAAGGTGGCATTTACTCCTCCCCTCTCCCCCCCCCCCTTCTCCATTATCATCCCACTACTGCATTTCCCGCTACAGAACATATGAACTGATTCTCCTCCAATGCCAGAAACGTTACACTGCCACTGCATTTATATGCACATCTTGCATTTTAAGATGGCAGCTCAGGCACCCAAAGATAAACTGTATATTTTTCGTGTATGGCCTAACAGCTAACGTGCTTATGATGTGTGTTTGCACTTGTCGCTTTGCCGTGATGACAGAAGGAAGAGGCGAAATCTTTGGGGCTCCATCATGTTGCTGATTTGTGCCGCTGCGGCGGAAATGAGACTGGTAACACCATGGAGTTGTTTAATGTCACCAATTATAACCTGTAAGGCGTTCAGGCGGCACAAAGAAATGTTGAGATCTTGTGTGTGGATCAGGGCAAAGTCATGGGCGCGATGTCAGGACGGCGTCTTGCAGACGTTGAGATGATGATGGAAATCATTAAGAATGTGGGAAACGAAACATGCCAAATTACCAGTTGTTATATTGGTTTGTGCATGGCTGATCCAACCAGACAAAATGTTATTGCAATTTATTTTCTTGTTGAATGAGAACATTTCTAATTTATTTTTTAACTTTCAAGGAATATTAAATTAAATGAACAGTGTTGGCCTTTAATGCAGTTTGTTCAATTTAAAAGAAAAGTTAGAATTGTTAGAAATAGAAAAATATTTTTTGAGCACATGCTTATATCTTAAATAGCAAAAAGCATCATGGAATTGTTGTCATAAAAATTGATGCTGGTTTGCTAAAATATTACAATTTGTAACTGCTAGACTTTGGTGTTATTTCTCAACATACATGTATGCTGTTTAAGTGTTTAACCTTTAGAACAGTTTAATCCATTAACAATTTTGTATTTATTTTATTCGCGATGAATCCTCCAAACCGTACAGTGCTGGGATTATTTGGGACAGTGCAGGAAGTAACAGTGAATTGGAGGCTTTACAGGAACTAATCTGACTTGAATCCTTCCAGTATCTTAGGCAGAACTTAACAATGAAACTATGAATCATCATGATTATGAAGTTTTTGGACCTATTCATCTTTCTATCTTCAAGACTTCATTGATACTTTTAAAGGTCATATACGCACATCAAAAGTTAATGATACAGATTTTTCTTCACAAACCTTAGTTTGCATGTTTGTGTATGGTGGCTCTGCATATTTTCACTATTTTCAGGTTTTTGCCCTTTCAACAAAAGAGAAAAATTTACTGAGTTAGGATGGAATTTCACATCAGGGAGAGGTAATTATTAATAAGGTTTTGCCTTCTACGTCTGCCCTTCATCAACATAACTTTTATAACTTCACAGCAACACAAATTTTAAAACTAATTCGCTGTTTGATTTTACGGTATGTAATGATGACTTGACACATCAGCTCAGGAAAGACTGTGTGATACGTTGGCCCAAAGACTTTTACATAGCTTTATGAGTTTGTTTATATATTTTTCTGAATAATATATTTTAACTAATATTAAATGAGCTCATACTAGCAAATTCCACCAAGAAGGGACTTAAAATGAAGAAAACGATGGAAAATTGTTCTGATTAAACAAAATAAAAGTTCATTATTGCAAGTCTTTGAGTTGATCAGTCCTGGTCATGAAACCATTGGAGCTGCTATAGGACTCCCTCACTTGACAACCTTTGCACAAGATTTAGCAGTCTTAGTGAAGGGAGCCCTCTTGTGACAATGAAAGGGAAAGAATTAAAAGGGGAATAACCAAGTCTCACCAATTACATGTGTAACTGCCTCCAAATAATCCACAGCTACCTCTATCTCCTATCGGTGTTCTTATATATAATTGCTGTTATTACGTACACTTCATTATTACTTTACTGTTTTTACATCGTTACCATGTAATTATCTGTTTGTTTGTGTGTTTATTTTTGTTCCTTTGTCCTGTCTGACTGTTTTGTCCAATCTTTGTCCTAAGGCATCCCCAACACAAGCACATGCTTACCGGGGCCTGCCTCCATTTTCACCGTTATTATTCTGTTATTAATGTTTTAATATTTTGTATATTCTGCTTGTTGTGAAATGGAAATAAATGTCTTTGAATTGAATTGAATTTTACTAAAGACATTTGATTCCAGTACAAAATAATTTCAAGATATCATTAGCTTAGATTTTACCTAATGAACAGTGTTTCCAAATGTTAGTCCTCTACTCGCCAAACGTATTCTTTTGTACTTTACACACCACCTCCCTTATTTTATACATTTTACATTGTACAAGGTCACTCTGTCTCATTTACCTTTTACAATGTGCATTTATGTTACAAAAGTTCACTTTTTCCTTCAGTATTTTTTCCTTTGGTAAGACTAAGGAATTTTGCATTAAGGACTGCACTTAGCACACATTTTAATGGATTACAGATATAATTCAAATTATCACGTTGTACCATACACAACTTGACTTTCATATGCCTTAGCAGATTAGTTCCTGTACCACCCAAAAGGCCATATTTATTACTCCTATGTTACTTCTTTAATGCCCTATTTCATACTAAAATAAGGAGAAAATACAGTCTAATGCAGTGTAATAAAAGTGCTAATGAGTTGAAAATACAATGTATTTAAAACGAAATTCAATTGTCTACAAAGAAACTGCCAGGCTCTTTTCCAATGTCTATAACATAAACCATATTGTGTAAACAACATGCCATATGCTTACCCCAAATTTGTCAAAACAGAGAGCATTTACTGCAAAATAAACAAACATCATATTTTATGCAATGCTTGATGCATTTTATATGGCAGTTCAAGCCACTAGCTGTTACCACCCCCCCCCCCCCTCGCCACCAACTGACGTCACACCCTTTCAAATACACGTAAACAGCATTCACCTGCCATTGACGTAAACAAACTAAAATTGAATCAAAATGAAATCTTTATCATTTCAAGGACAAGATCGGAGGTTTTTTATTTCTTTGATCCTGCTTCCAGTGCATAAATGATGCATCTGTATACTCAATACAATAATGAAATTATCTTGTTCTTTACAAAAATAATGTTCCTAATGTAACCTCCCTAAGTTCATTCCAAATTGTGACAAACAAAATTCTTTCATGCGACGAAGGTGCTTTACTTACTTTTAATTTCTTATATTTATGTTTCATCTTTATAATTTTCAGATATTTAAAACATCAAATTTCCATTTTAAATATTTATATTCTATCCTCATAGGCCTACCGTATTCCATACTTATTTTTTTCTTCAAAAAGAGCAAATGTTTATATTCAGAAACAAGTCCATATACAAAACAATTCTAAAACAAAACCCAGCACATCCTGAATTCCTACTGGGTTCAAAAGGATTTATATATATATATATATATATATATATATATATATATATATATATATATATATATATATATATATATATATATATATATATATATATATATATATATATATATATATATATATATATATATATATATATATATATATATATATATATATATATATATATATATATATATATATATATATATATATATATATATATATATATATATATATATATATATATAGATAGATAGATAGATATATATATAGATAGATATATATATATATATAGATAGATATATATAGAAAGGTACCGGTAGGCTCCCTATCCCATGATTAAGGTGAGTCAATCTTCCGTTGTCAAAAAACAGGATGTGTGGGCTAAAGGGAAATGAGAAAAGATAATGAGAAAAAAAAAGAGAAAGAAAAAAAAAGACAAGGAATGGACGGTGCCAATGGACTACAACAACATCACTTGATTTCCTTGATGAACATTCTATCTTCTGTGACAACAAATAGGGATTACCATATGAAACTCTCAAGATGGTTGTCAAGAGTTGATTTGTCATGATATCTGGCTGACTCACAGGGCAATGACATGGAGAGTGCATGTAAGTGACAATACAACACAGCCAAGCAAACAAAGATGCTCAATGGTTCTCATGGTGCATTCCCAAACGTCTCTCTTCACATTTGTGCATGGGTGTACATCCGATACATGCGTTAATAATGACTGCTTAGGGTTCAGCAACTCTGGTCTAATCTGCTTAGCGGAATTGCTTAATTGACTGCTTACAGTTCACCAAGAGTCTTCTGAATACTCTGTCTTTCTAATGATTTGCCTGAAAAAAATTTATTCTGGTATTTTGAGCAAATCACTGCTGGAGAATTCGTTTTGAAGTTTACAATGTATTATTAGATATTTCTTTCTGAAGTTTAGGACTTTTTTAACATTAAAAGGGTTTTAAGGAAAATAGTTTCTGCATCTTTCAAGATGTTTTGAACAAACTGTACGCAAGTTACGTTGGGGAGACAAATGTCTGCAATTTGGTCGCAGTTGCTATTCTTGTTGTATGTTGGAATAAAGTAAATTCTAAGGAATGTAACAAAACTTGAATGTTCATATGAACATGAGTGGCAGTACCACAGTGTACCTTCTGGAATTTTCTGAAAAGAACAACAGAAGTACAAAAAGTCTGAAGAACAATAAATGTAAAGACAGAAACAATTGTTTTAATGTTTTAAGCTTTTTAAATAAAACGTAACATTAAAAACATTAATATTTGAGTAGAGTATCTTTCTTTTTACATTTTGTTTTCATTATTTTGTTGCGCATTTGTCCTGCTATGTTTATTTCATCAGTTAGAGATTGCTACAAATCGTATGTGGTGTTTTAAAAGTGAAAATAAAAAATTGATTTAGTGTGGATGCAGCATGCTTCAGGCCAGTTTAGGTGACGTCATCATCCCATCCACTTGGGCGTAATCGGCTCTGACATGGATTAATTTCCTCCTTTTATTGTTTCTTATCTTTCCTTTTTCATCAAATGTTTCCCCCCTACCCGGAGTGCTGCAATTTATATTTAAAAAGCTATTTTTAGAGTCTATTTCTGACTTCCATTTTCAAAGGAAACCAAGGTTACTCCGAGTCATTCCTTTAGCATTTCTGATTGAATTTGATAAAACTGAGTGCGCAATTCCTAAAGGTGCTTTGGGTTTTTTCCCCCTTTTTTCAGGCCTTCCATCACTTAATGTTCGGTAGATATATTCACAAAATTTATGAGATTTTTCTTTTTTAAATTGCATCTTTGACCTGCAGTTATGGATTGTCCTGTAGATTAACTTGTGAGACATCGTTACATTTATGAAAATGCAACCGTGTGTTTATTACTTTCCTGAGGGTGATTAATGTAAAATGAACGTGCCCTTCTACCGCTAGCTGTATGCAATAACCAATATTATCTTCAAGCAAACTTGATTCCTCGATCCTGATTGGTCGATCCATGGCAACAAGCCGTGCTACATATAACCATACCGCACGGCCACGGTCCATACCGCACTCCGCGTATTGCGCTATTCTAAGCCTAGTGCTGCACAATTCACTGTGAATTCAAAAGTTGCGCGTAGGTTACAAAGCATGCGTGTTCCAACTTTACTGTGCGTCAAGTTTGCTTGAAGATAAATTCGTTATCGCGCTTGCGCTCGTGGAACACGGAAAATGTAGTGCGTTTGTGTCCCACATACCACTCGGCCTTCGGCCTCGTGGCATGTGGGACACAGACGCACTACATTATTCCGTGTTCCACTCAAGCTCGCAAGATAACTAATAATATTTATATCCTAGATAAAACTGATCTCAATACAAATATTTCTTTTCTTAGTGCCTTTTAAGTTTTACATTGAATCAAATTACCAACCGGTACATGTAGGTTATAACTTGTAATGTGGGTTCTGGGGGAAATTTATAGTTCACTATGAAGCATTATATTAACACATGATTGTAACCAATGCTACATGTGAAGGAAGGTGATTGAAATAATATTCTGAGCAACGAAGGAAATATTTGCCGAAAATAACCCAAGGGCCGTATCACTTCCACAAATGCGACAGACCAACCTAATCCATGATTAGGTTGGTTAAAGGAGCCGTGTTGAAAGATTCAGCAAGTTACAAAATCAAACTTGGTGATGATGTGTTATGTTTTAATTCATGGTATCCTTTAGGACAAAAGAAAGTGTGATTTAAAGGTGGCACTTATGCATTTCTTTTATGAAGTATCACAAACAAATAAGTATGTATATGTATTTGGTATTTGATATTTACACTGATGTGAACAAACTTGTACAAGTTTTTTGTCTTTTCTCTGTAGTTGGTAGCATTTGATTCACATTCATTGATAGCAGTTCTGAAAAAAACCTAAATATACTGAACTAAGACAATCTAGCTCAAAAGCATTGGCAAATACAATCAAGTTAGCTTGAAAAAATAAATTTTAATCCCCTGAACAAAAAAGGAAGTCACTATGATCACTTATGCCACTAAAAATCTATAAAATATTTACATACTTATAATATACATAAATCATATACTCACAATGGCAGATTTTTTATTTTTTTTAGTGACGTCGCAAAAAGGCAGCCATTGGGTACACCACCAACAAAACTCAACAAAAGCAATACATTTAAACCCCTCCACTTGCTTTCCATATTAAATTTGGGGCGGAAACTTTTTGGACCCACCTTTTCGGGAACAAATATTCCCCCCCCCCCCCAAAAAAAAACCCAAACAAACAAACAAATGTGTTCTGGATCCAGCCTTGAATATTTATGACATAAAACACCAGATATTCCAGTTCAACAGCTATGGACCATGTCACTTGTCATGTCACACTGATGGGCAACCAACAGACAATCAAAAAAATGCATTTTTTGCATGTTATTTTACCCACAAATTAAACAGTTTATGTCAACTTGGCACAACCAGTCACATGCACTGCAGGAGAGAACAGTTTGTTGAAAGTTTGCATCACATGACCACAAAATTTTTGTAAAGAAATGTGACATGGTCTACAGTTGTATTAGGCCCTCACTTAATCTCCAAACAAATGAAATAAAACAATCATCTTCTGTTGGGGGGGGGGCTTCACAGTCACTTACCTTTTATCTGCTGTAGTGATTTCAAATCATGTACATCTGAAACCAACAACTCCTGGATCTCACTACAAAGTTTTGAGATTTTCCAAAGTTGATTGGAGTTTCTCACTAGATTTCTCAAGATTACTTGAGATTACAAGTCCTCCTTTGAAACAAGTCACAGGGCACGTGAGAACTGAACGCGAAGATTGTTTTGAGAGATGCTAGTTGACTGATATCCGTTGCTCAATTGTCTGATCACGAAAGAAGCATACCGCTAACAATACCTTTGATTTACCTACATCCAACTGACAAACTACCGGTATATTCAATCCATAATATTGCATTTGTTTACATCTGTGGAAATGAAGAACACCAGTGATACCATTCGTGAAGCAACTGACGCTTTCTGATCACAGCACATACACACGTGCAAACACATGTGATTCACAGTCTAATACCCATCAATAATGCCCGTGAAGCACAGTGCATCATACATGGTCCACATGAATATGCAATCACTGGTTTCCTAGTGGCCAATGGAAAGGCAAGGACTGCATGAATATGCATAGCCACTGACTTCCTGGTGGCCAATGGCATAGCAAGAAACATGAATATGCATAACCTGGCTAAGGCATCACTCCACGACTGCATTACACACTCATGGACGATTCATGAGACAATACTTCTGCCAACCAATCAAAGCCGGGTCAGTCCAACTGATGAACAGAGTCCAAAGACTCTCGACGTCATGAAGTAAACAGGATGTATCCGCGGTGTCACACGGAAGATTTCCAGAGGATGAGACAAACCTCTCAAAGAGCTACGTAAATTACAGCGACGGAGTTGAACAAGTCAGGCATACTGTGGTTTCTTACTAAGACTCTGTACGTCACTGTTGCCCCCATTTTGGACGGCTTAATCTAATTACCGTATACACTTCATCTAAAAAAAAGCTTTAAAGTAAATTGCATTCAGCATTTAAAAAAGACACAGATTTAACTTTGACATCATTCAAAAGCAGACTTACTGTCTAGCACACAATGCAAATTTATGTATAAATACATGTTGTGCTCATTGGGGAAAAAATTGCTAAGCTACCTTTTACAGAAATAGTCAAATGAAATGAAAATCATGTCATTGACTCATTTTCACCCACGCCACTGTGCAGATGGTCTCCATGATTGAAAAATCAAGCGCCTTGATTGCATTCTGTTGACACGCTGGAAATATAGGGCTGCTTCAGCAAAACAAGGATGTGATAGTGCCATAGCACAAAAATAACACCAAGTTGGTGCCGACTGTGATTTTGATTGTGGCCCCACTAGAAAATTTAAAAAAAAAACCTGCAAAGGTATGAAAATGGGGGGGGGACCAAAAAACTGTTTTCAAATGTACTATTGGTTTTAAATTATTGACATATATTTTCCACAACTATTTTTAAACATTACAAAAGTTGTACAAAATCAGGTCCAAAACACAGTCAATAAACTCCAATCTGACGTACATGTATCTGTTGATAGGCAACGGAATCCTATGCGTTCAGTGCCTGCTGCACGACCAGGCATTACAGATTATTATGTGTACACAGGTGCAGCCTAAAAAAAAAATGCCTTCAACTTCCACGAAATGACGGGCAGTTTGCGTCTGCCCTCAGTCCTCAAGACATTTATCATGAAAACGGAATGACATGATTACGACAATTTGATCACGCCAAACACACAGAGAAAGAGAGGTACCGGTACTGTATCACGGCGACCAAGGAATGAAGAATTCCAGGAGAGGAGTTCAAGCGAGGGTCTTCTGCCTTATCCAAACAAGTCTCCAGCGAACTCATCCAGGTTACATTTTTGATTGAGGCCAAGACAGACATTATGTCATCACTGGATACAGCACAGCTGTGAAAGCTGAGGCATAATGTTCTTGAGATTTTCAGGCATGCAACTGGGAATTTAGAAAAAAATGAGAAAACTCCAAACCAAACAGTACTTCGTACAGTATTTTTAAATTTGTAATGGCAATCATGAGAAGTAAAAAATGAGGAAATCAGCAGATACAAGGAAAAGTTGCACGCGTGGATGTTGTGTTTTAAAATAATAAGTGCATTAGAACACCAATAATAGAAGAATAGACATCTCAATTTGTAATGTTGTGGCACTGTATTCCAAGTCAAACTCTATATCAGTGAATCTTTGTTTTTGCAAACAAAATTACTTTTGTTCAATCTTGTGATGTCTGAAGCCGTAACAATTGTTACTGCTCATTAAAACATCGTTGGATCATTATCCACACGGTCAATTTCATTTTATTTGGTAGATAAAGCAACATAACATTTATGCTAGAGAAAGCCCTCTGAAGTATGACATTAGTTACATTAAATGTGATACTCACCCACTTCTGTAGGAGAACTGGGTGAAAATATTTGCAACGTTTTGCACTCAATCCACCATTAAACATACCTGAGTAAGTCCTGAAAATTCTCAACAACACTTGTGACAGGCCAAGAGGACCATTGAGAAATGCAGTCAATAAAACTGAAGATGTCCAAGAATACTCATACAAGTTGCTGTTTTGTCAAGTGTTCTGAAACCTCATAGCAATGTTTTGCTAGAACATGCAATTGTAAGAGCAATGCTCACACATTCAACATATATTGCTGCTGTTTTAACAGTTATTTCATGTTTCTACACAAAAGTGTGTCCTGCTGTCACAACTCTAAGTTCTGTTTAAAAGCCACAGTACACTTATTTTGTCTAAATAAGAAATAATCGCAGGCAGGAAAATCAACATTAATTACATGTAAGCCTTTGACTTGTTTCCATTTCGTAGAATCGTATAATTTATAAAACGTACACACAACAGGCAGTATGCAGTTCCAGTCTACACATAGAGAAGGTTCTGGTGTATAATTTAGTGCCAGCCACAAATCAGACATGATAATGTGGAATGTGTGGGCCAATGACGTCCTTGCCCAATTAGCAGTGGCTACACGTCTCCATTCATTCATTCACTTGTCAATTAAGATGCTGTCACTATCTGATTGAAAACTAAAAGTATATTTTATTCAGCATTATATAGTTTAATCCAGCAAACAAAATTATAAGCCATTTTTTAGGTGATGCCATGCTCGGGCGCAAGTATTAATCAGAGTTGTAATGACTTGAGTCCATGACTCGACTCGAGTCCGACTCGAGTCGCAATTTTTGGTGACTCGACTCGACTCGAGTCCCTAAGGGCAAATAACTCGACTCGACTCGAGTCACTGCGAGCAAATGACTCGAGTCCCTCATCAGAATGACTCGACTCGACTCGAGGAAGGCTAATGAGACTTGAGTCCCCAAAATAAAAGCAAACCTTTGCGAAAAATATTTGCAATGACTTACGCCGGTGCCGGTTTTTGTTCACGTCACGTTAGAATGTTCGCGAGTATGTATACATATACATAGGTGGTTTGATCAGTGTCGCCATTAGTTGCATGATGATCAGCTCGCACCCCCTTTTTATTTTCATTAAGAGGCAAATGTGGTGTCACCACATGAAGTAGCCCGAATGTAAAATTTAAAAAGCAAAAAGATGACTTTCTCTCTTGTGTTTATATATTGTATAGTGCTCAAATATTTGTGACTCGAATTGACTCGAGCTAAAGACTTGACTCGACTCGACTCGACTACACACTGTGACTCGACTCGACTCGACTCGACCGTCTAGACCTAATGACTCGACTCGACTCGAGTCACTTCTTTAAAATGACTCGACTCGACTTGAGTCACAAAAATCAGTGACTCGTTACAACTCAGGTATTAATCCCTATCAGTTTGACACAAACATCACTTTTGATTTCTAGCTTTGCCCGAAATCATTCATTTTTTGTTGAGGACAAACCTTCCTGGCTTGACTCTATCCAAGAATGAAATGATGCGGGGTTGAATGTGTGGTTGAAAAATCAAAAACTCAACCCGGGTGGCTCCGGGTTTGCCCAGGGTCGATTTCAACCCGGGTTGAGAGGCTCTAGTGTGAAAAGGCCTTATGATTTGCTTGCTTATTGTGGCTATTTCACCCTTCATTTGGCATCGGGTAATACAGACCTGTCTTAATTCACAGACTCCCCACACTACTACCGTTATTGCCTGTCTCCATGTGTAAATTGACCATCCATCACAAGACTTTGCCACATCAAGGAAATGCAAAGCATAACTAATCTAAAGCAAGTGCAACACTCCAACTTGGAGCCAATTTTATGGAGACATAAATACATCCTTCAGCAGCACTTCAATCTTTGTGCAACATTGTTGGCTTTAAGATCGGTAAATACGCAAATGCTATTAATTACAAACCAAATTTGAAGTCATAAATGTTCATGATAAGTCTGAAATGTGTTCAACTTTTCTGAGAATTCGCAGAATAAAAATGATGCCATGATGACATCACAAATAAGCCTTCAAGTTAATTTTTTTTATCAAGTACAATGTAAGTGGCAGCCTTTGGTAGGCTCCTTGTCACATTGGTTGATATTAGGGTAAACGGATGTATGTAAATGATGTTGAACACCAAGTAAATACACATTGTATACAAAAATATAACAAGTTTACTGGCTAAAGTTTTCCTTTTTCTTTTCTTTTCAAGCTGCTCCCAAAGAGATGCCAAAAACTGTTGCACTGATCTTTTTAAGCAATGGGTCTGACATCACATTCCTGAGCTTTGATAAATGAAACTTAAACCATCCATTGGAGTTTTCATAAAAGCTTTGAGGCAGCTTTACTCCATTTGTGGTTGTCATGGCAATGCTGACAAACCAGAAATTGGACATGTACAGGAATTACTTTGTCATCCCACTTGTGCATTCCTGGAAAGGAAAAGCGTGTTTTGTGCGAGATTACTCGAAAAACGTCCAAAAAATGGACTTTGCTCTCTACAAATACAAAACAGGGTGCAACAATCATTAATCAATATAGCCATGTTGAAGTAATGTCACTGAGTCATATCATTTGATTTCACTTTCAAATAAGGCATGTTGTCTTTCCCTGTTTTCACTGGTGTTTTTGTAAATTTATTACCTAAGGACATAGTTTCATATTCTCCAAACAACTGCGTGAATCTTCACCTTGTTTAGATGTCCCATTACAGAACTTTTACTAAAATATGAAACCTTATCCCACATCCAGCATTTGATGGATCCCAAGGCTGACCAGAAAAGCTA